TCTTTCTGATATGGAAGACACACATATAGATACAAGCAACATGCTCAGATGAATTTACACGCACACATTTACTTCACAAACACACACTGAGGAGTCCAGAAGGATCTGCTGCTTCTCCTGGAAATAGCAACTGAGGCAGTATCTCATCTGCCTATCCACCATCAGATATGAATCCTGGCTGGCTTAATTTTCTCTCTTCTAAAGAGGAAAAACCAACTGATAAATCTTTTACTTGAAGCTCCAACCTAATATCTGGGAGTGATATATTCATGGTAAATGAGATCACGTAAGCCACAAAATGCTTTATTGAGGGCAAACACACACACAGTCATGTTCAACCTTCCTCAAATGAAAAGAAATGAAATCAAACTCAAAAACGGAAGTCAACCAAGCAGCCCGCCAGAGCCATTATCCCAGTATCAGCAGGCATTTCCCTTTCTACCACTAATTCTAACCTTACTTCTCGTCGACTGTTTGATAAAATCATGGGAAGGTGGCCCACTGCATTTGACTTCCCCACCCTCCTACAGTCTCTCAAGGAGATGGAAGAGAGAGCACCTCGCCTCTGGCGAAGGGGCTCCATTTACTACCTGCGCCTCCAACCTTGTCTCTCCTCTGTTGGGGAATCAGCTGAGAGACTTAGGAGTTGCAACCACTGTTCCTCAGCCCTGGTGCATTCTCCCTACTCGGATCCCGATTCTGACCCTCCTCCCTTAGGGCACTCAGTCCTCTTACCTCCTCCTCCTTTCCTGCTGCTAATGCCTGGGAATCTAGCTAAAGAGGCCTGTGGGGCTTCTCCCTGACTGCCCCTCTCAAGTTCTCCAAAGCTGGCTCCCTGACCCTGTCTTCCTCCTTCTCGCTCTCTGTCACTCTAGCCCAACACTCGCCCTCAGCATGTGTCTATTTTCCTGCAATGACTAAAATGCCTCGTTCTGTACCTCCACATTTCTCCTTCTCTTCCTATGTCCTCCGTTGAATGAACAGAGCTGAGTAACCATCTTTGTTCCACCCAAAGCGTCCCCTCCCGCCCAACATGCTCTTGAGTCGGGCCAGCTGGAGTCCCAGGCACAGGCAGCAAGCTGGGAGACTCAGTGGGCTTATGGAAGGCTCCAGCCATAACTCCGATGGTTTTGCACTCCGGCAGTAGGTTCTGGCTGTGAGCATGGCTCAAGGGTTGGGACGGTTTGCCTTAACAGAGTCGGACCGCACTGCCTCTCTCCTTTGGCTCATAGTGCACTTCTAATCCTCTCAGGCCAAAGGAGAGAAGGGTTTCACAGTCCCCCCCCCACCATTCAATCTTTTCGTTCCGACCTGTCCACAGCAACAGGAGGCGGGGTCTAAAAAGGGCTCTACAGTGGCTAAAGAGAGGTCTCTCTCCTCTTAAGGACCCAGAAAAAGACAGTGACAGAGAATCACAAACATAGAGGCACACATTCATGAACACACAAAGAAATAAAAATGCAGATATCCTAAAATACAACTCACTCCCCACCCCAAAGGAGGACAAAAAGCAAGGATACACGATGACCCTCAGAAACACAAACAGGAACCACAAGCTCCATGAAAGCCTCCGCACACAGAGGCATACAGAATATGCATCAAGACACACATTCACTCAAAGTGTACTTAGTGGATACAGTGTCCATGAGCACCGGGCACCCAGATAAGCCCCTGCCACGCTAAAGTCTAAACCAGAAGATGAGAATCCCCAGGTGCATTTGAAACAAAACCTCTCTGTAGAACCCCAGGCAGACATTTAGGACCAGAGCGAAAATGAAAGTGCTACAGGGGTCACAGGCTTCCCAGAGTCCTGGCCCCATCAACAGCCAAAAGCCGAGGTCACAATATTCCCTGTATCCAGTAAGCCCAAGCCCTCCTTTACCTGTCTGGGCTGCCCAGGGCCCTTCTCCACTTCCTCTCTACCCGGGAGCTGGGTGTCTGCGAGAGCCCCGACTGGGAAAGGGGAGTGCAGGCAAGCAGACAGAGCTGGTGACTGCTGGAGTTCACATACATTTATTCAACTGACACCAATGGGAATGGGGGGGAAGACAAATTTTTCTTTTCTTCCACACAAACCATCAGACGATTTCACAGAGAAGTCTAAACCAATGCACACCCAGTGGACAGAGAACGCAGATAGCAGCCCGCTGTACAGATATTTACACATAATTACAGAACCCCCTGCCACAGGATGTGCCCTCGCCCACCCCATCCCCACCTCTCCAGTCCTTGACACAGACCCTCCTCTCCCACCCCAACCTCATTGCCTTTAGCTACAATAAATATCCCAGGGCCTGGGACAGAGCAGAGCGCTGAGAGGGCCGCTGGCCCTGGATGGCTGGACCCAGCCGGCCATGGGAAAGGGGAAAAGTTCCTTCAAAAGCACCCCAACACGAAAGAGGGAGGATGTTCCTCAGTGTGGTGGGATCCGGGGTTTCTACGGGGATTGTGGAGACCCCTCGCTCAACCTCTCTGTTCAACTTCGCTTGTGTAGACACTGCTTTAGGCTTCAGAGAAAACGAACTTCCTTGGAGAACAGCAAGAAAAAAAAGTTGAAAATTTCTTTTAAGCACAAAGCGGATAATAGGTATCTTTAAATTATAATATTGGGCAAGCAGTGCCTCAAAGTTGGGGAAGGAGTGAGGGAGAGGCAGAAAGGGAGACCTCTCTGCGCAGTTGGTGTTTCTGGCGGAATCTGCAGGGCCTGGGCAGACATTTCTCCGGGAAAGCATTCCTCCCGGGCCTCTGAGAGGCGCAGAGGCTGGGAAAAAGTGAAGGTTCCCCCCCCCGCCCCTTTTACTGCTCATATTGGAGTGGGATCATGGCTTGCGACTTCATCGCATAGACCTGGGCCTCTCCCTGAGCGATGGAGCCCGCTTCGTCCCAACTATCAGCAAAATTCTGAGCGTGGAGCCTGAAGTGCCAAGTCACGAGCGCCGGCCCAAGGTCTGGAGACTCTTCATAAATAGACTCCCTGAGTTCCGCTGGGACCGCAGGAGCTCCCGGGAGAGGCTGAGTGCGGGCCTTACCGGCCCTGAGCTCGACGTGGTCAGAAGTGGCAGCCACTGAGGCCGGCGACTTTGCTGGCAAACGGGGGCCCTGAGGACAGGAGCGCGTCCCCGGGGTGCGAGAGGCGGATGTGGCCGGCCACTGGAGCCAGGGCTGGGGCAGTCAGCATGGCCAAGACCTGGGCTTGACCCCCAGGACCCGCCGCCGCCGCGAAAGGCGATCCCGGGGAGCCCTCGCCTCCGCCCGGGGGTGCTGCCCCGCCGCCACCGTGGCCCATGATGTGGTCTATAGAGAAGGAAGGCCTCTGCCCGGCCCCGGCGCCCCCCGCGCCCGCACCACCGCCCGCGTCCGTCTTGAGGCCCTGGCGCAGGAGTGCGGTAGACAGACCAGCCGCGGTGCCGGCTGCGGGAGGGCTCAGCGACGCGGGGTAGAAGGCTTTGGCGCAGCCCAACTCGGCGCCCAGGAAGGCGGGCAGGCCTGCGGGGCCGGGGCCCGACCCTGTGGCCGGGGCAGGCGCAGGGGCCGGGGCCGAGGCTGTGCCCGCGAACACCGAGGCCGTCGGAGGTCCGGGTGGAGGAGCAGCGGCGCGGCCTGGGGGTACCGACAGCTGGCAAGGCGCGGCGGCGGCGGCGAAAGCGAAGGCGTGCGGGTGTGGATGCGGGTGCGGGGCCGGGCCCGGTGGGGGTGCGCCGTAGGCCGGGAGCGCCAAGCCGTAGCCGTAACCGTAGGCGCCATAAGCGGCGAAGCCCGGCAGGAAGGCGCCGGGGTCCCCCGCCGCCGCAGCCCCGCCACGCAACAGCAGCTCCGGATGAGGGTGCGTGTGTGGATGCGGCGGCGGTAGCGGCTGCCGCTTGAAGCGCTTGCGGCGCCGCAGGAAGCTGCCGTTGTCGAACATGTCGGCCGACTCCGGGTCCAGCGTCCAGTAGTTGCCCTTGCCCGGGTTGCCCGGCTCGCGGGGAATCTTGACGAAGCAGTCGTTGAGCGAGAGGTTGTGGCGAATGCTGTTCTGCCAAGCAGGGAACTTCTCCCGATAGTAGGGGAAGCGGCCGCTGATGAACTCGCAGATCTCGCTCAGCGTCAGGCGCTTTTTGGGGCTCTGCAGGATGGCCATGGTGATGAGCGCGATGTACGAGTAGGGCGGCTTCACCAGCGGGCTCCGCGTCGCCGCGCCCCCCGACGGCGGTCCCGGCCCGGGCCCCGCCGCACCCCGGGCCGCCGCCGCGCCTGGCCCGGGGCTTCCCGCTGCGGCCGCCGCCCCCCGGGGCGCTAGAGCGCGGGGCTCGCCGTCCGAGCAGCCGCCGGACTCCTCCTCGTCCTCGGCTGCATCCGCCTCGGTTTCCTCCGGAGGAGGCTCGGGGCCATGGGGGAGCACGTCCCGGGGGGCGCGGGGCCCGGAGCGGGCAGGGAGCTCCCCCCCACCGCTGCCGCCGCCGCCGCCCACCACGTCTATGTCTGCGTCGGCCTCGGACAGCGCGGCCGGGGAGCTCTCGGAGGACATGATCTCGCAGCAGCAGCTGCCCAGGGTCATGGTGCCGCCGCCGCCGCCGCCACCGCCGTTCTCCGGCTCCGCTCCGGCCGCGGCTCGGGCTCCGCCGCGCTGCCTCTGGGACGAGTGTGTTTTGCGCGCGGGCGGGGAGGGGGCGGGGGACTGAGGCGGGGAGGGAGGGGTGTCCCCCAGCTCCGCAGCGCCCCCTCGTGGCCCAACTCGCGGCTCTCACCTCTCGGTGAGCACCCGACTGGCTGCTCTCTCCGCCGCCCCGGGAGCCGGAGCCGGGCGCCTGCACCCGGGGCGTGGGCGGAAGGAGCTGAGGCTTCCCCTGACCCTGGCTGGTGTCGGCCCCCAGTGCCCCCGGGATGGGGGTGGGGGGGTAGGGGAATTAGTCCCTCCCGCCTCGCGGCTGCCTAAGGCGGAAGAGAGCGAACCCGGGGCGGAGCTCCCCGAGCGGGGTGGGGCGGGGCGGGAGGGGGCGGGCGGACTGCCTCGGCGGAGGGGCCCGGCGGGAACAAACAGCTGCCGCGGCGGGAGCTGGCTCGGGTGGCTGGAGGCGGGTCCTCCTCTGCCCGCAGATCCCGCAAACGCTCCGCTCCCCGGAGCCGCCGCCTGGAGCCAGTGCGCTGAGCCCCTGGATGTTAAGGTCCACGCGGGCGCCAAACGGAGCCGGGAGAAGTAGCGACAGCCCCCACCCTTCATCTACCCAAGGCAGCGCCCTGGGCCACCAAGGCCGAAGCGCAGTTGGAGCTCGAGCGGGAGCCTGAGACGGCCCGACCTAAGCCGCCCGAGCTGGGCCCGCCGGATCCCAAGCGGCTTCCGGCCCAAGGGGAGACGCAGTTGAGTGACCGCGAGGAGCAAACTTGGCGCCCTCAGCCTCGGGCCTCGGAGAGGTGAGAGATTCCGGCCGCGAGGAGATCCCTCTCCTCCCTTCCAAAGCCGAGACCCCGCCACACATCCTCTTGCCGCGGCGCGGGACCCCGGACGCAGGAGTGTGTGCGGGGAGACCCGGGGAGCGCGTCGCCCTCTCCCCGAAGCTTCTGTGCGGCGCTTTGGCCGCATTCCGGGAGCGCGGACCGATCCATCGCTCTGAGTTTGCCTGCACCCCGCCCTTTTCGGTACGGGTATCCGTTTGTCTTGGGCTCTGTGACTCTGTGTCTCTCGCCTTCGGTGAATCTCTGCCTTGTTTCCTCTGGAAACCCTGCATTTGTCTGGGTGTCTCTTCGTGGGTCCGAGAATCCCTCGCTCCATTTCCCTACCCCCAGTCGCACTGCAGGGCTGCTCCCCCTTTCTGGCCGGACTTGTAGGCTCTACGGACCGGCCACAGGACCCCGACAGACACCTTCCTCAGTGAACCCTGACCTCAGCTCTAGGCCAGCGTTGCCTCGTCTCTCAGGAGCCCGTGCACACAAGGTTGGTCCTGTGCCCTTCTTCTTACCAGCCGGGTTTCTGCCCAGCCCATTAGGCTTCTTTCTCCCCTGGCCAGGAACCCAGCCACCAGTAGACTGGGCCCATCTCAACCCTGAGCGGTGACAGGGGTGGTAGGCGCTGGTCGTGGGCAAGAACTGAGCTGATGGACGGGCTGCTGCCCCGCCAGCGCCGCGCAGTGGTCAGAGCTCCGGCAGGCGAGGCCGGAGACCCAGCTGCCCTCAGCTGTCGCAAGGCTGTATGACAGTCAGCAAGCTACTTCCCCTACCCAGCCTCAGTTTCCTGCTTTGCCTAGTAGTTAAGAGCAGGAACCCTGAAATTAGGCTGCTGGGATTCTGGTCCTGCCTTGCTTATTTACGAGCTCAGTCATCTTGGATACATTTCTTAAACTCTTTGTGCTTCTGTTTCTTCCTCTGTAAAAATGAGATTTAAAAGCACCTACTTCATCACTAATATCTAAAAGTAGCTATATCACTCTAGGCTACTTATGAAGAGGGTATTGAGAGCACTTTGCAGACTCTTGGGGAGAGAGAAAGCAGGTAGAGGTGTAGTCTCCCACTTGGATCTCAAGCTATGGTCTAGCCCTCCACTGTGTTACCCCTACTGGGGTAACTGGGTTATCTAACCCTCTCTGGTCACTGTGCTGAATCAGATCCCCTATAGATAAGTGCTGGAAGCAGGGTGTGAGGGATCACCCGGCCCGGTCAAGCTGTAGCTCAGCAGGATTGTTGTGAGGGTGGATGCATTCTTTCATCTAACAGTTTCCAGTCTATGGAATAATCTAGTGTAAATCTAACTCTCCCATTCCACAACCAGAGGCCCAGAGCGGGGTGGGGTGGGGCAACCAGAGGCCCAGAGAGGGGAAGAGACTCACCTAGGCTCCTACAAGATAGAGCAGGACCAGGTGCTTGTCACTTAATCTTCACAGAGGATGGAGGTCTCCATCCTCTCAAGCCATCTGACTAAGAGCAGAGGAGAGTGGAAGCAGGTCTGACTACCCCTGTCCTGGGGGAGAAAGTCCTCTGTTCCCCCTACACACACTCCTCAGACCAAGGGGATCCACCTGGTATGCAGGGTCTGCATAAACAGACTGTCCTCAGGAAGAAGAGAAGAGGTCCAGTCCTCAAACCATGGACAAGCAATCGGGCAGGGATAGTGGCCCTGAGGGATTGGAATTTTCTAGGTGATAAGGCCCTCCAGAGAAAAAGGTGGGAGGGGTTGGAAAGAAGTTTTTTGCATGAGTCCAAATAAATTCACATACCTAGGGTTGCTAGATTTAGCAGATTTATTTTATCTGGCAACCCTACACCTACCCCAAGCTTGTGTATTACTTCATGGAGCTCTCTCTGGCACTCACAGGTAGCCCACACTGTCTACCACACATCAGCTCCAGCCCAGCTCTGCTCTGCTAGTATCTAAGAAAATGGAGAGGAAAATCAACATTGGCCTCAGCTTACTACATCTCACCTTCTGAATGTCTTCATTTCTAAAATGGCAGGCTTGTGCCAGTCCCTTCCTCCCTTGCCAGCACTTTCTGGCTCCCCAGGCTCCAGCCTCCTGCCCAGCTTCAGGGTCAGGCTGGCTGAGGCATTTGCTGCCCCCATCTCCTGGGTTCTGAAGGTCCAGGCAAGACTCTACAGAGCCACTGCGGCTGCGGGCTCTTGCCTCTGCCTGGTTCTGCTGCACGCTCTCTGCTTGCTGAGGCTCAGGTTGCCGGGAGGGATACGGGCCCTTAGTCCCTGTTCTGCAGTGTGGGGGTGGGACATGATCTTAAGGAATCATCCGACCCTTCAAACACACACTTTTACAGGAGTGCCAACAGGCTCTGGAGATCATGTGACTTGGCCAGGCTCCTCCCAGAGTTGGGTTGGATCCAGGTGTCAAGACTCAGAGGCCAGAACTCCTTTACTTATTCAAATAACTCTACTTAGCCCCTCACCAAGCTCGGGAGAGGTGTTTCTGGGAACCTCTCAGTCCTCCCAAGGTTTTAGTGTAAATCTAGAAGGGCCAGTTTGTCTTGAACAATGCCAGAAGTAGGTGAACTGGAGGCTGGGAGACCGTCAACGGGGACCTTGGGAATGCCTTTCGTTTTCTGCACTTCTCCGCTGGCACCAGCCTTTCCCACCTGTGGGCTCAGCCTCTTCCAAGCCTTCCGGTCACATTTGCTATCTGGATGACTCTGTCACTTCCCTCCAAGGAAAACCTGTGCTTCAGCGCCGATGCCTGAAGCCTCCAAGAAGCAGAAGGCAACAGACTCTGTGGGCCTTGGCTACAGTGTCCCTACTAGGGTCTGGCCTTCTCCTTCCTCTGCCTTACTGTTTCACTACCTCCTTCATGCAGCCAAGAAACAACTGGAAGGAGGCTTTTTGGGGTGCCTGTTGGGAGGGGAGTCCACCCCAAAATGCCCAGACAACCAGGGAGTTGTTGCATGTTTATTGTGATGTGTTGCTGGCTATCAGTGGTGTCCCTCCCTTTATGGCTCCTCCCTTGCCTCCTTATGGTCGCCGTAGACGTGCTGTTCTCAACTTGGGGAAAAGGACAGCTATCAGATGGTTTTGAGAATATAATGAAGTCAATCGCGAAAGTGGCGACGAGCGGCGCTGAGCGAGCAGGAGGCGGGACGCGGAGCGGCCTTCCCGCCGGGTGAATTCTGCGAGCACAGCACGGCCTCAGCCGGGCAGGGGGACACCACGCCCGCACACTTCCCTAATTTTATTCACAAACCTTGCCAGTCTCCGGGAAAGCTGCGAGACCCGCGCAGCCGCCCCCTCTTCCCGTTCCGCCATCGGCTGCAGCTCGGGGATGGGGGGTGGGGGAGACAGTTGTTTGGCCGAAGCCGGGGTTATCTCTGGACCCTTTTCTTCACCCAGATCTCCGCCTGTTCCAGAGCGATCGGCTCCCTTGGCCCGGGCGGAAGGCGGAAGATTCTAGATCGGGAGACCTGCGGGGACGAACCTCAGGCGGCGGGGCTCCCCATACACAGGAGCAGGGCCCCGGGTCAGAGTTCAGAGAGAGGCCATACCCACAGCAAGCAGAGAAATGATAGGGCTCCCCGCGTGTGCGCCTTCACCCCAGCCGAACACCCGCCCTCCCCCAAGCGCCTCTGAACTGCTCCCCACACCTCCACGTACCCCCCACTTCTCAGAGGAAATGTCTTTCTCTTCTTTCACCATGCCTGGCCACAGCCGCCTCCCGGCACCCCTATCCTGGAACTACGTCGGGGGGGCCTCGCTTGAGCCCCAGCACCGAGCAGCGGTTGAGACCCGGACGAGCTGCGGAGCCTGCCGACTCTGGTTCGCGGGAAGAGGGTTGCGGGCCCAGGCAAGGGTGAAAACAGCGCGGCTCCGCAGCCGCCCAACCTGGGGCTCTGGCTTCGCAGCGACCGCGGTGCTACAGGCTCCCCTCGCTGCGGAGACGCACAGCTGGGGGCAAGGGAGAGGGGACTCTTCCAGGTGTGTCGGAGCGTCAGCCTCAGGTCTGAGTGCCCCTATTGTCTAAGTGCGTCCCGGGTTTTTGCGAACGAGGGTCTGTTTCTCCTCCCTCCGCGTGCGTGTGCCCCTCCGGACGCCGGTGGCTCTGTGTGTCCGACCCGCGCCTGTCCTGATTGCTCCCCTGCCAACCGCACGATCGGTGCGGGGACTGCCCTGGAAGCCTCGCCGGCCAGACCCACCGCTCTGCCCCAGCGCCGGAAGCGGCAGGACGTGGCTGGGACTGCGAACCCACTCCAGGCCCGCAGCGGTGACCCTGGCGGGGAAGGAGGATGTGTGAGGGTGCAAGCGTGGGTGTGGGTTTGGGACGAGAGCCGGGAGAGAGAGGAGAGCGCACCGGCAGGGCGCGGCGGAGAGCCGGGAAGAGTGTAGCGGCGGCCTCCTGCCCACCAACTGCACGCCGCCCGCTGGAGTAGCAAGACCTCGGGACCCGGACGCCCTTCCGCAGCCCTGAAGTGGGGCAAGGCGGGAGGGAAGGGGGGGGGGGCCCAGCCGAACCCGGTAACCGGCGCAACACGCACACGCGCGCGCCATCGAGTTTAGCCTTTCGGAGCCCCAGGCAGGGTTGCTGTGAAACAGTAAGCCCCTGCGTGGTTGGGGAAATGATGCCGGGTGCCTGACCCCTCTGGAGCCCGTGCGGAGCCGCGTAAGCCCCACAGAAGCAAAGCGAGGGGACCAGAGGGCGTCTCGGCCTTGCCATGTAGACCCGGTGACCGATTCCTGGGGAACAGCGACCTCTGGAGGAGCGGCGCGTCCACGCAGAGAGTCAGGAACTGGACGACCAGGTCTAGGACCAGAGGGCCCTTTCTCCACCCCACCCCTTTGGCAAACTCATCCAGAGACTCATAACCTCCAGACTCCTCTTCGCGCATGCTTGCTTCCTTTCCCAACCTGTACTCATGCTTCAAATCCTTGCTGAGATCCCGCCACCTCCAGAAAGAAGGCTTCTTGGGAGCCCAAAGCATCTTGCCCTCTTCCTGCTCTGAGCTCCTCAAACTGAAAGCCTGAACCCTTGACAACAGCGCTTGCACCCCGTTCTGCACAGCCGACCTGCTTCCTGCCTCGCCCTTCTCCAAAAAGCCGTTAATCCATACGCTCCACCCACCCTTTGCATTGCATGCTGGGTGTGCTGTTTTTCTTTCCCTCCAGTAAATAAAAGACTTAAGCCATTTATCCCAAAATTGGACTGTAGGTCTTCAAAGTCCGTTTCCCAGAGAGGGAAACCCAGAGGGAAGGCTGACTTGCCCAAGGTCACACAGCAAATTGGTAGCAAAGGCGGAACTAGATCCCTAACCTCTCATTTCCCAAGCCCAGAGCCCTCTCCATTTCACATGGATGTGGGGAAGGGCTCATTTTGAGGGATGAGGCCTGGTTGGGGGAGTCGACATAAGAAGAGGGGAAATACAGGAAAGGATGGGGTAGGGGGGGGTCACTGCTCCAGGGTGGGGCAGGAAGGAAGGAAGGAAGAGGGGGCAAAGCTGCCCTGGAAAGTCAGACTCTTCCTTTCTTCAACCCCAGCCCAGATCAAGCTACTTTGAAGGACTCTAAATGTCAGGGGTTGGCTAAGTGTCTTACCTCAGGAGGTGGGTGGGCTGGATACAGCCTCAGTTCAGACAAATACCGCCCTGCCCTCTGCCCTGGGAAGGGGGAGAGGGGCTAAGAAACCTCTGCTAATACACACCCAGGGGGTGCTGCCCAGACCTCAGAGCAGCAGGAAGAGGCCTCCTGGGGCTTGCAATTATAAACTTAAAGGAGAAGCTAGGAGGATGATTCTCATGCAATTTGCGTGAGCCCCCAGTGATAGCTGCGCCCAGCTGCTTTGCTTTCAGGGAAACCTGTGCTTGTCTGCACAGATAACCAGGCAGCCTGGCCCCTGCCTCTGTGTCCAGCCACACCTCCAACCCCTGCACTCCACTCAAAACTGCTTTCTCTCGCTCTAGACCATTACCTGCAGCTCACTCCTGCCTGGCTCAGTCCTCCTAATCCTCTGCCCATTTCAAACGTCAAACTTCATAAGACACTTTCCCCAACAACACCTCCCGTTGGCCAGGCTATGAGGGGCTCCTGCCTGTGTGCCCCTCAAACACTAAACTCTCTCCATTGTCATCATTTATCTTCCAGTCTGTCGCCCTCTGTAGACTGTTCCTTGGAAACACTCATTATGTTGCCTTCATCCTCATTTTTCCTCCTCTACAGGGTGGAGATAATAATTGTACCTACCTCACTGAGTTCTCGTGAGGATTGAATGAGCTAATGTGTATAAAACCCTCAGCCCAGTGCCTGAAACTGTGAAAGAGCTCATCAAACATCTCTCATCATTATCACTCTGCCTCCTGCCAGGCACAAAACCCAACACAGAGTAGGTATTCAGTGAATCTTAGACATGTGGATACAGGAACCAATGAGTGAATGAATGAACAGTGTGATGTATCTCTCCCTCTTGTCTAGGACTCCCCAGACAGATAGCTTCCATCACCAGTGGAAATAGGTGTTCTTTGAAAACAGACATTGCTTCTCCCCCATCGGTCCCCATCCCTGAAGGGAGGAGAACACATCCCTCTATCAAAGAGTCTTTCCATGGTCCCTGACACCAGCATTCATTGGATTTCTCTCTTGTGTTCTCTGTCTCAGTTTCATTCTTTTAAAAATGTTGTGACCGGGCGCCTGGGTGGCTCAGTTGGTTAAGCGACTGCCTTCGGCTCAGGTCATGATCCTGGAGTCCCGGGATCGAGTCCCACATCGGGCTCCCTGCTCGGCGGGGAGTCTGCTTCTCCCTCTGACCCTCTTGAATCTCGTGCTCTCTCTCATTCTCTCTCTCTCAAATAAATAAATAAAATCTTAAAAAAAAAATAAAATGTTGTGACCAATCAAACCAGCCAAATCCTGACAAAATCTTCTGGGGGCTCCCCATTGCTTATAAGACAAAATTCACTCTCCTTAGCATGATGAATTGAACATGTTTACAGTTTTGGGGTATCCCATTTCTCTGTTGGATAAGACTTCCCCTCCCACAGTCCACATGGTCCTGATGGGACTGTCCAATCTCTGTGTCCTTTATACTTACTTCCAAAATTAGACAGGCAACCCAGCATGATCAACCATAGCAACCATTGCAAACCCAAGTCCCAGCGATTGGTCTAGGCAGGAGTAAGTGACCTAAGCCAAGCCAGTCACTCCTTCTACAAGATTGATGTATAGATTCTGGGATTTCAGGAGGAGTGCTTCTCCTTTTGGATCAGAAGATCAGGTGGAGAATGTGGTTTGACACTGAAGCCCATACACATAGGAGAAACAGCCTAAAGAGTGAGACAGCTTAACAACAGTGCTGCGTCCACTGGCTCTGCCCAAAACTAGAACCCTTAGACTTTCCAGACATTCTAAAGATCTTCTCCCTTTTCTTAAACTAGGTGTAATGACGTTCTGCTAGTTCAAGTTGAATTTCACAAACAGCAGAACCATAAGAGAGGAGGATCCTGGGTCCCTGAAACCTTTGAGGTGCCATACCACCCTGAACTGCCTCAAGACTTACAGGGAAAGGAAATACATTTCAATATTGGTTAAGCTGCTGTTGTGGAATTTTCTTTGGTGGGGGTGGTGGCGGTGGTAGTGGAATCTGCTACTCACAACTGAACTTAACCCTAATTAATACAGGAGGGGATGGGAAGATGCCCTATAGACACAAAGGACCAGTCTAGGGTCATTAGCCTGGAGAATTAACGGCTCAGGGTTGACACAGCCCCCATCTTCAAATCTCTACAGGGCTGACCTGGAGCACAAAGACCATGGCAAAAGGGAGCCTAAAGGTTGTCAGGAGACTCAATATCTGTGACTCCATGGAAGGAGAGCCTTCCAATAGGGCTGTCGCTCAGAGAGGTGATATGCTACACTGATGGGAGTGAGCGCCCCATCACTGGAAATGTGTGAGCTACGGCTAGGTAATCACTGGATAGGAATCTAGGCACAACAGACAGACTATAAGTCTTAGAGATGGAGTCAGATTACGCCTCCACCATGTATTAGTCTCAAACAAATAACCTTTCTAAGCCCCAGTGTCCTTGTTTGTGAAGGATCCAGATAGCTGGGTTAGAGACAGAAACCAAGGCAATTTCCTAGCCTGTCACCTCACAGAGATTCCTGACACCTAGAACGAGCCAACTATGTGTCAGGATGCCTCAGAGAGGATCCTTGCTGGCCTCCCAACCTTGACATTTTTGAGGATGCCTGCTCCAACCTGCCAGCTGAATGAACCTCCCCCTGGATTGTTCCTGCAACTGGAGAAGAGCAGTGGAGCCTGAGTCTAGGGGCCTGAGATCTCCTCCCATCCCTGCTTCTGCCCCTCCCAGGTCCTCTGCTTCCTTATCTGACATGTAAGAAGTGCATCCCCTGTTTTGAACAGTCTGGCTCAAGAATCAGGGCTCTTAACTACTGTGCCCTACCTACAATTCCAAAGGTGAGTGATTGCCATTCACAGCAATAATAATAACCATGTTTGCATGGTCTTGACCTGCCCAGGTTCCTGCTCGTCCTGGTCTCAGTCAGCCAGAATGGTGCCATCTGCTACATGAGCTGACACCACAGGTCTGGGCCAACCCAGACATTCCCAGGCTACTGAGGGCCTTGTTTTACAAAGTGGATTTGGCTCCCCCTTAGTCACATGCATGCCTCTCACAGGGGGCCTGCTGCTGGATCTTCCTTCATCCACTTCCTCCCATGAATCAGGGCTACTCCCAATGAAATGGGAAATCCAAGGCCAGAGAGGAGCAGATCTTAGAACATGACCCGATGATCAGAAGGAAGTCACAATTGGGGATGAGGGATGGCAGAGAAGGGGAGATGGCAGCATTTGGTAGGAGGCCTGGAGGCCTGAACAGTGGAGGTCTGAAGAGCAAGCTTCCTACACCTGCCTCTGGTGCCCAGGGTTGGGAGACTGAAAGGGAGAAGGAGCCATCACTCTAGATAGATTGATGGCCAGGGCACAAACCCCACCCCGGGTAGAGGTGGCAAGTGCCCAGGCTTCCCAGATCCACAGGCCAAACCATCTGGTGAGGGGCCTAGTGAGAAGTTCTGATGGGAAGGTCACAGGGGAGAGGGCAGTGAAGTTTGAGAAAGTGGAATTCTCACCATGGTCACCAAGAGTCCCTTTGAGAAATAAAAGTGGACAGCTGCCAAAAGAGCCAGTGTGGTCACAGGGAGCTTGGTGTGCTGACAGGGACTGCGTGGAAATGCACTTCCAGGAACTTCCCCTGCAGATATACCTGCACACATGGGACATGTACCGGCTCTCATTGTAGCTGGTTCTGGAATGCCAAAAGGTGGGAGACAGTGTAAGTGTCCACTGACAGGGGGTTGATTAAGCAAACAATGGCACATCTCACAAGGAAATAGTATGCTGTGTAAATAAAATAAAGAAGTTCTTTATCTATTGATCTGGAAAGAGCCCGAGATGTATCATTGAGTGAAAAAATTCAAGATACTTAACAGTGTAAAAACATGCTTCCAACTGTGTTTTTCTGAAGGAGAAAATAATGTATATTTGTTTTGGTTTGCATATGTAACAAAAATATCTAGGAGGATGAATAAAAAACGAATAAACATCTGTTGGGGCAAATAAATGGGGAACAAAAATGGAAGAGAGCCCTTTCACTGAATACTCTTTTATAATTTTAAAGCCAAGTAAATATATAGCCAATACAACAATTGAATAAATACTTTAAAGCAAACAATGGAATCATCTGAATGAAGAAGGCTGAGTATGTAGAACATATGAGTAATAAAAACTGAAACTATGTGGTAAACACTTTCTGTGGGCTCCAACCTAAAAATATGGCTGGTGGCTAATGTGGAAAGCAGGGACATTTGAGCCCAATCTAGTGGGTGTCTACGGGCACTGGCCTGTAGCTCATCAGGCAGGGAAGTAGGCAAGTCAGCTAGCTAAGACCCCAAACTTTCTACCTTACCCTTTTGCTCTTTTCTGCCCATCTTTCACTGTCTCTGCCTCCTGTCTTGGTCCCATCTAAATTGCTTTGGAAGTCATTGGACGTTTTTAGCCTGCCAGACTGGACAGGGATTAGGATGGAGGAAAGGGTGTCTCATAGAAACTGGAATAGCGGGCTTCTCCTTTCCTTCAAAACCCCAAGCCAGAGCTCACTTCCTTGTGAAGCCCACCCAGCCCCGGTCCCTA